TATGATGCTGCTTGGCCTGCTGTGTTCATCCAGCTCTGCACCTTGTTGTCTCGGATTCTCCAGCATCTGCAGTTCCTACTATCTCTGATTCAATTTTATCCCCATTCTCAATGACAGGGGAATCCAGCATATCAGCACAAAAGACAAGGTTGCAACATTTGCCACAATCTTTAGCCATAAAAGTTGAGTTCAAGATCCATCTCAGTCTCCTTTCGTGGCCCACAGCATCACAGTTACCGAACTTCAACAAATTTGATTCATTCCCAAGAAATAGTTGGAGGTACTGGATACCGAAAAGACTATAGGTTCAGACACCAATCCACAACAATTCTGAAGTCTTGTACTCCAGAACTTGCCAAATTCCTAAGCAAGCTGTTCCAATGCAGCTACAACTCTGTCAAGTACCCAACAATGTGGAAAACTGCCTACATATGTCTTGTCACAAAAAAGCAGGTCAAATCTAATCTGACCAATTATCAACCCATCAACCTACTCTCGATCATCAATACAGTGACGGTGTCATCAATAGTGCTACCAAGAAATGCTCGTGCTGCAATGACCTGCTCACTGATGCTCAGGGTTCTGCCAAGGGTACTCAGCTTGTGACCTCATTACACCCTTCGTTCAAATAGAGACAGAACAGCTGAATTCCAGATGCAAGGGGAGAGTGACTGCCCTTACCATTAAGGCCACGTTTGATCAAGTATGTTATCGCGGAGCTGGAAAACTGGAATCAATGGGAAGCAAGGGGGAAAAATCTCCACTGGCTAAAGTCATATCTGGCACAACGGATGATGATTTTGGTTGTTGGAGGCCAGTCATCTCAGCTCCAGGATATCTCTGTAGGAATTCCTCAGGATAGTGTACTCAGCCCAACCATCTTCAACTATTTAACTGAACTGTGATCAATTTTGTCTTAATTTTACATTTTTTATAATTATTTATGATTCCTGTCATTAGAGGCACTGTGGTAAGGCGATTTATAAAACTTTTCACTATATTTTCCATGTAAAAATACATATGACAATACATTTCTACTCTAGGCTATTTCATCAATGGCATTTCCTCCAATAATAATGTCAAAAGTGGGAGACAAGTCAGGGTGTGATAGAATTCCTCCCACTTGCTTGGATGAGTTCAGCTCCAGCAAACCTCAAGAAACACCACCATCCAGGACAAAAACAGCCCACTTGATAAGCGTTACATCCACAAACATCCAAATTCCCTCCAACAACACTCAAAGCAGCAGTGTGTACTATCTACAAGATACACTGCAAAAATTCACCAAGGCTCCTTAGACAGCACATATTTAAAATTTCAACCAATTAGATCTGCACTTATAACTGCTAATTTCCTGTGCTGAAAAGGTTGTTTGGTAGTAAAATAGAGGTTTTAGGGAGCCTGTGGGAAACTGAAAAATCAACACTTAATTTTTTGATAGTTTACATTCCTTAAGCATAAGGGTAGGAATAGTGATTCTGCAACATCAAGCACAATTGAGCATGGCTTTGGTGCAATGGTGTTAGTACTATTAGTGCATGGCTGAAAGCATTTGAAGAAAAATTGAAACATCTTTCCTGATTATCCATTCTCCCCAGTTGCTATATTCAGGTCTTGCTGTTGCAAAAGAACCTCAGCAACTTACAGATTCATATGTTGGTGGTTGCGTTGGTATTGGGGGTGGGTTACCCCCCATGTTAGGTGGCTGGAAGTTGTTGAATGGCTGGTAAGTGTCCACTGGCAGATGGTTATCCTAGATGAAATTTTAAAAAAAAGGCAAGATTCAATGAAATATAATGTCAAGCATACTGTGCCTCCCATTGCAGCTTTGATCTGTTTGTGGTGATTATCACAGTCTATGAGCATCTGGATCTCTGCACTATCAAATCAGCAGGATTATGTAATTTGGCTTTAACAATTCTTGATCACTTTTTCTTAACCAGCTTGGCTGGGAGCTACGATTTTCCCACCTCCCCTCTCCGCTAACCAACACACAGAGACACACACACACACACAGACACAGACACAGACACACAAAGTAGTAGACCAGGGATGTACAATTTCAACTCTCATCAGCGCCATCCAAAATTACTGATTTCAATCATAAGCCATGTTCATACTGCAAATCACACTTCACCAGGCATTTTCAGCAGACTCAAATTGGATTATTTATATTTGTTTCATATCTTGGTCACGTCAGAGATACACACCAAAGAAGTACCAATTAATTGACCCTCACCCAAATGACTCTATAGAGAAATGAGATAGAATAATATACTCAGTGTTCCACCTCCATTTCATAAACACATTAGGACTTTAAGAGATCGAATATGATCGATCACACTCCTTCCAAACTGTTAGCCTCACAGCAGAAATGAAGCATTTACTTCACTAAATATTTTCTATTTTTAATATATTGCAGATTATGGATTAGCAGATGAACCAGTAACCACTGAAAAGATATATTTCATACTTTGAAAATCAAATATATATTTTCATGCAAATAGTGTCAATCACCATGTCAAGACTTAGCAATCTAAAAAATAAATTAGTCTAGTTGAAGCAAAAGAATAAGTATTATCCTTTGCCTATGGAAAACACACCATTCAAGCAACGTAAATATTTGTTTTGTTTAAAGGATTTAGAACCTACACTTCAAACCACAAGTCTCAGAAACAAGCAGCTTATTGCATGTACCCGAAAAAAAACCCTTAACAATACGGGTTGCAATTACATTTGATTAACAGCCAACTAACTTTTCAGACCCTTTCAGGAGATTTTTTTTCCCCCCCCAATAACTCATTCCAAGTATATACTCCCAAACTAAAATAAAATTAAAATCAATGCAACTGTAACTGGTTTAGAATCACAAACGCAGTATTCAAGTTAGCAAAAGAAAATGTCGGAGAAACTTTGCAAGTCTGGTAGCATCTGTGGAGGCATAAACAGACTTAACATTTCAAGTCTGATGTTGAAACTTTATTTTTAAGATCTCAGCATCCACAGTATTTTGCTTTTATGAGTTAAGTTGTACTTTGCATTTTATACATGATAACATTCATGACCAAAACTCTCCTGTCAAGCCTCCAGCCTTCACTTCATTTTATCCAAACTTCTGCTGTCCACATCCAATATTACAGCATTCCATTCATCATCTGTGTTTTTCGGAACCACATTGACTCCCAGAGCCTGATATGATACATTCAAAATTTTAATCTTTGTGATTAAATTCCTTCATGACTTTCTCTTTCTCAACTGACAAAAATCTTTGCACCTTTAGCTCTTTTTGCATTCCACTCCCAGTTTCTCCAACCAGTTAGCTTCACAAATGCTGCTGTTGCCATCAGTTGTCTCAAAACTACAATTTGGAATTTCCTCTTTACACCCTTCTGTCCTCCTGCTCCATATTTAGGTCTCTACTAAATCTCCCCTATCTGTATGTATCTCACCAATCATTTTTGCCTGATCATATTTCTGCAAAGAGCCCTTGGGATCCTCCTTATCTAAAAGATACTAAATAAATCAAAGTTTTATTTTGATTCTTTGGGCAGAGCTGAAGGAAACTCGACACAGTGTTAGAGGACAAACTGTTCAAAAAGTACTTACTGGTCCTTTCCTTGGTGGGTATGAAAATGGTATAGATGGTGTTGGCATTGGCATTGGCATAGGCATACTGCCTGCAGTAGGTGCTGTAAATCCTCCACCACCTCCCCCTCCAGGGCCACCCTTTTTATCACCATTATCCACATCAATCAAATCTGCTTCCACTCCAACTGGGACCTCCCCCTAGAAGTAATAAACATTTCAATTAATGAAAAATAAAATTGTACAACATAACAAAGCACTAAACATTTCAAAGTATTTACCCACAAGCCCAAAAATTTACAATGCACATAGTATTGGAACGTTCTTTTGAAACACTCATGCAAAAGGTAATGGAAAGGGCACAAAAATCATTAAAGTTGTACAGGGTTGAAAAACTGGAATGGCATTAAAGCAAGAGTAAGATAATATTTAACAGAAAGATTTTAACAGAGTGAATAGGAGGAAACTACTAGATGTGTCTGTAACTAAAGGATAAAGATTGAAGAGAATCAGAAGAGTTTCAGGTAGAGAGCTCAGCAGTTTTTTTTAAATGCAGGAGTTATTATTTAGATTCCACTGCCTAAAACAGCTTCAAAATAGAACAATGTAAATAATTAGGGATGGGCAGTAAATCCTACATCCACACTGAATAAAAATTGAAAATACTGGGACAAATATTAAGAAAATGAAGGGCAATGGGAAAGAGCAGAGGAGTAGAACTAATTGGATTTTTCCCCCCAAATTCCCAGCGTAACCAGTGCATTGAACTTTCCATGCTGTATAATTGGAATGTTTCTAAATAATCAACTTGCAGGGAGCTTCCAATCTCAAATAACTACAAAGTACAAGTTTGCTGAAGTGAATGCTCATCCCATTGCCATAGCAGTTAGAAAACAACCTTCATTTTATTGTTATGGTAGGAACTGTAGATGCTGGAGAATCTGAGATAACAAGGTGTAGAGCTGGATGAACACAGCAGGCCAAGCAGCATCAGAGGAGCAGGAAGGCTGACATTTCGGGCCTAGGGTCTAGGCCCGAAACGTCAGCTTTCCTGCTCCTCTGATG